GCCACCTTAGATGTATGTGGCTGGCGCCTTAGCCGCTTGAGCCACAGGCACCGAGCCTCCTCCTCAGACTCTTACAGCAAGAGTCTGCCAGAGTCTTGACGCAAACTCATGTTTTTCTGAATCTAAAATGCCCTCCAGCCTCCATCCCATTTACTTCTCCAAGGCCAGCTCTGGTAGAACCAAAGATAGGTGTGCTTGAAGTAATGCAAGTCAGTCCTGACCCAAAGGCAGACTAACAAGATCTAGCCCTCTGAGCCTTGGTTTTCTCTTGTCCACAGGAACAGTAACTGCACTGATGCCCCTGGGTTGTGGTAGGGGTGGGCGTACATATGACACTGAGCATGCAGAATGACTGTGGTCTGGTTCAGGCAGGGGACTGGGGACAAGACACCTCACTGGGTTTCAGAGTGGTGGGCAGGCAGTATGCAGCTCTGGTGGTGCCATAAAGGGGACTTAGCCACCAAGCATTGCTCTCCTTGCCTCCCGTACCTCTGTGGACATTTCAACAGATAAGGAGAAGAGTGTGGGGCCACCACGCCCACTTCCCAGGGCAGTTCGTGAAGCCTGTGATGCTGATCAGCATGATAACAATGGTGAATGTGACTGGATCTGTGATAATCAGTGAGTGAGCCAGAGAAGTGTCCCAGGGTGTGAGATGCAAGATCCTGGCAAAAAAGCAGAGGCATTTGGTATGGACGGGCTTTGTGCCCAGGACAAGGGAGAGAAATGAAGGGGAACACAGGGTTGATAGTGCCAAGATGGAGTGAGCTGCGGCGAGCATGGCTTGGCTGGCACTCAGGCATTCCTGGAAAACCACTTGGATGAGGCCTGGCCTCTGAGTGCTCCCCTCCCGGGCCCTGTCCTCACCACCTCCATTTCATCTAGGACCCAGCAGGGCACGTTTCAGTCCTGAATGACCCAGATGATATGTCTGCAGTTTCCATAAACACATCCTCATTCCTGGAGGTCCAGATCTGAGATCGCCTTTCTGGGTGCTGCCTGCCCTCCCTTGAGGATGGGGAGATTCTGGGAAATGCCCTCGGCCCCCTCATTGCCAGTGCAAATAGAGATAGGCAGGCCTACAACCCTTCATCTGCAATTCTCAAATTGTAACAGCTCTGAAAATTAATTGTTTCATTTTCCTTGATTTTGCTTTAAGAACTTTGTATCAGACTCATTTGTTTTAAGATCAAATGGAAATCCATGTGCAATCGAGGCATTTGTTTTTCTCGGTTAGTGTAAATAGGCATGTTTTCCTGCATAAATGATGCCCTGTATCATTACAGGGTACCACCTTAGCCCCAGCGGGAGATAGTGCATCACGTACCTTTCCAAGTCTTGGCAAGACTGAGCAGGGGTGATCCCAGAGGGGCTGGGTGAAGGATGGGGCCTGATAATGTACACTTGGATGGGGTTCTGTGTTCCATCAGCTCTGAGGCCCTTGCAGGGTGGTGCTGGCTGCAGAGCAGCTACTGGTGGGGTCCCACCTGGGCAGTCTCTGCAGAGACTGTGGGGCCCAGGAAGGGCTATTGAGCTTCTGTTGAGGGAGGGCCACAAGCCTGGCTCTGAGCTTGTGTGGGTGCTGCCCTAGTTCTCAGCTGTGTGCTTACATCCTGGTTCAGTATTTCACCCCAAGGCTCAGTGTTTGCATCCTCAGAAGCATTATCTTTATAACAAAATAAGAATGCAAATCTGAAAACATTCCCTTGGACGTTTCTAAGAGGTTCTTGTGAAGCTGCACGGTGTTGTTTCATGGAAATAAATATTCTACATTTCTATAGCCTGGTTCTTATTCCAGTTGAAATAAGTGAATTTATTTTTTCAAGTGTTCTCACGGTGAAAACTTTGAAAGGAAAACCATATTCGTTTGGCTAGAAGTAACCCATCTACTGCAGGCGGAGAAGGCTTGGGGGCATGCAGCGGTAGGAATTGACTTTAATGTGGTTGTTTGTGGTGACAGCTGGAACTTAAATGTGATTTTTATGCTCCTCATGGTCATTTTGGAAGAGAGTATTTAATTCCCAGTTTCCTTATATTTTATAGCCAGCAATTCAGTTATGTAAATAAATGTCCAGAACTCTTTTTGGCTTTACACTTACCTAATAATCTCCTATAAGAAATATTAGTAGGCAGGGAAGCAAGTGCTGCTAATGGTGCCTGTGTTCTCAGTCCTGGACAGATCACTATCTGCAGTGGAATATGTCAGAATATCCAGGTGTGAAGACTGTTCGCTTCCCAGATGGCCAGATTTGGAAACCAGACATTCTTCTCTATAACAGGTAAGCACACTGGACCAAAGGAAAAGGCTTTTGTCTTTGCATACGTGTAGCAATCCAGCAAATTTGAATATTCTACAGAAATGCTACATTCGTTATGTATAATTTGGGACCGTTGTTCCCCATATGACTTTCTAAGTGGATGGGTCTTTGAGAATAAGCTCTGTGCTCCTCTGCCAGTGTCCCCTGGTGTGGCACGCCCACGTGCATGCTGCCTAAGATGGCCATTGGTGTAGGCGTGTGTGCTGTTGGTGCCTGAGTGCCTGCACTACTGCATAAGGAGCATTCTTGCACAAGGCATTACCTTTACGTAGTAAGTGGTAGCAGTTAATGTCAACACCAGAAGGCGCTGACTGCCCTGGTGGGATGCACGGCTAGAGTCCACATTTTGAAAGCACATCGTCATTGGATGTGTTCGCCACTGTGCTTTGGAGATTGTGCAGTGAAGGTGGCTGAGTGCGTGAGGATGGTCCTGTCTAGCCGCATGCAGAAGCTTGCACCGTGGGATGCAGACCTGTGCTCTCTCTCATAGCCCTTCTGATGCCAGGAGATGGATTCATTGGTAAACCAAGACACTCTGACTTGTAGGCCAGATACACCAAAGCCAGATATCTAAGCAGGGTAAATTTGTAAAGCAATAAAATTCTTTGTTAAACGATATAATCATGTGAGAGAACCTAGAAATGTTTCTTCCTAATGAGGTCTCAAATATGGCAAGAAACATCATTAAAAAGGTTATTTCCTAACGATGACTACTGCCTTTGGTCCCCAGCTTTCCTGATGTGGGGAACAGTATGACCATCCAACACTTGCCCTCTGGACGAGCTGATGTGCTCATCCTGCGGGGCTGCTTCCACACGGCTGGGTGGTTGTGTATCTTGTGTGTACTTTTAATGCCTCCTTTGTCTTGGCTGCTGGTGGTCACATTCCACATGCATCACTGGGCCTGTACTTGGAAGAATAGCCTCTTCTGGTGGTCACATTCCACATGCATCACTGGGCCTATACTTGGAAGAATAGCCTCTTCTGGTGGTCACATTCCACCTGCATCACTGGGCCTGTACTTAGAGGAGTAGCTTCTTCTGGTGGTCACATTCCAC